GTCTACAGAAGAAATCCTGGCACATGCTCTTCACCTGTGGCTATCCCCTCCCTGAGGGGGGATGGGTGACATCTCACAGATTTACCAGCTGTCCGGGAAAAGGGATGCAAACTCTCCTTGGAGAATGAACCTTGCACATACAGTACTTCAGGATTAGTGGGCTTTTTTTTGCACTACTGACAGGGCCATAAATGTCTGATCTGTCCATGCATATCCAGCTCCTCTCAGGACTCCGGTCCACAAGGAGAACTGCTGTAAAGTGAAGCTGCACAGAGATTTGCAGGCAGCCTGTAACAAAACAATGTTCATATTCAGAAGAGCACCTACCAAGGGCAGAAAAATCTAGTGCCACTTCCTCACTGATCTCTTGGTGAACTATGATAATGTTGATTAAGACTTTAAATTCCTTAATAGTCTGAAACTGGTGTATCAGGATGATTGCTTCACTTTCTGTGCTCCCCTTCAATAGCTGCAATCAGCACAGACTTTCAAATGAAACGTTCTTCATTATAAAAGACAAAGAGGAGGGAATAGGGAAATAGATATTCTTGACTACAGCTCCAAGACTGGGATTTTCTCCCTTATTTGATCTGAAAACAGCTCAGTCTAGTAAAGTTTGAGACAAAAGTCACCTTTAGAGGGATACTTTGAAGAAAACAGGAAATTAAGAGAATGGCAGAATGTTTGAATAGATTTGCATATAATTCATTTCATACTGCTTAATTGTCCTGATTAAACTTATTTGTATTTACTGGATGATTGATTACACAAGAATGCCTAAAAGCCTTGGTAAGCATCTACTGTGTTTTACATATAAATAATATAAATCAAATAATTATAATAATTAAAATCTTACCTGTAAAAGAATTTATATGTAGCTATTAGATCATAATCAGATGAAAATTAATGACTTGTTAGCATTAATAGCAATTCCTTTCAAAAACTTTTTGAAACATCTATTAATCATTTATTAACGCTTTTTTCATAAATTTACTTCTGTAGGTACATTTCCATGACATTTGTTTAAACTAAAAATACTTTTTTCATTAATTTTATCATTTTATGGCTGTTCTGTGTGACTACACTATTCCTTTAGGTCATAGTACAGAGGGAGCCAAAGACTCAGTTTAGCCCTGAAAATATCTGTACTGGAATTCTAACAGTCTTCCAGGTACAAACTTGCTCTTGCATGTAGGTTTTTCTGTCTCTTTCCCTTGAATGATATTTTTGGAATTTGCACATTACATACACTGTGGCAAGAAAGGTCTGCAGTTTTACCACTCTTGAGTTAAATCAGACTGATAAAAAAAATCCTTTAAAATTTCACAATATTTTATCACTGGCTGCTGGGAAAGAATCATGACCCAGGCATTATGTATGCATCATCACTTGAGATGTGCAAGCAGTTAACTGTCCCTGTCTAAACAGCATTTATATCTGAATCTTAGCCATAAACCTGTCCCTAAAATGTGAACAGATGGAAAAAGTGGGTTTGTTTCCATTAAGGAATATTGACTGAGTGTGGAAATTATGATGACCCAGCTACAAATCATAATACAGAAAACTGACTGTCTGCATTCTAAACATCCTCCTCACTCAGCTAAGATGTCGAAGTATGGTAGGAAAGTGGTTTGTAGTCACTTAAGCAGAATGAGAAGCTTTATCAAAAACATTTAATTTTTATTAACATTCAGAATACTTAAAAGTATCTCAAATATCTCAAAAAGTATAAAGAAAAAACCCTACTTCATACTAATAAAATCTTTTTTTAAAATTCTTGCAGGAACTGAAAATAGGAATTTTAGAGAGGCTTTCTTACCATGACACTGTAAGTAGGCTAAAACATAAATGGAGAAAAGTTTAAAAAGATGCTTTAGAAAATATTCCAGAAGTATTCCAGTTACATTCAGCAGATTTTCTTTTTAAAAAAGGACACTAATATTGTTTTTTGACATCTCCATTTGGAAAGATTCTTTCTGTTCTGGACTGTTCAGTCTGTGTTTTGGTTACATATCTTATTTTTCTGGTTTGGCCCTATAGTACCTCACAAATAGAACAAGTTTTTAACTTATTACAGAATATCTGCAAGAACTTGTAATAAATGCAACCAGGTCCCTTATGACTTCTCAATCAAATTACATAGTGTGGCATCGAGATTTGCAAAACCAAAATTTTTCCTGTTTAGCAAATATTTGTCAGTCTGCAGTACTTTTTGGTTTCTAAAATAGTTCAGAGAGAAATTCAGAGAAATATAGGATATACAATTTCAATCTTTCTATCCAGAGGTATACCAACAGAGATTTCAGAAAACATCCTGAATTAAGTATTAATCTAGTATTAATTTTTAATATCACCCATTGTCCTCTCACTGTTTATATATTTATTACATAATTCTTTGTAGACCAAGATGGCTTTTCAGGTTGCTTTCATATTTATTAGTTTTTGTCATCAATTGGAGTAGTCTTTGATAATACATGCTATTAATAGGTTTCTTTAATATGTCCAAGATCAGTGTGACCTATTTAGTTTTCTCAATAAAACCTTTCATCATACAGCTGGGGGACAAAAAAAGGAAAATACGTGCTTGCAAGATGGTATATCCCCTGAAAACTTCCAGACCAGAAAGAAGAATTAACCAATCAGGTAACTTGCACAAAAGTAAGACATGGAGAAATAACATGACAGCATGTGGGAATGAATACAGCCTTCTTCTCAAAGAAGCTGTATATTTAATATTAGTAGGATTGGCAGCAAAGATCCTCAATAGTCACAGTCTACTTCATGGTGGTAATGTCAGCATAAGGACAGCAGGTGTTTGTACCTGTCACTCTACTCTGATTTTAGAATAGATCACCATAGAATTCAAGCAAGTTTTGGACTAAAATAACTTCAAGATCAATTTGTTTATGCGGAAATCTCCAAATTACCTGTATGCAACAACTTAAAAACATGCAATGGTGAAAGGATGTTTCAAAATCAAAGTGTGTACTTTTGAAAAGGCAGCTCCAGTCAACTCTAATAACCACAAGGCTGTTTCAAATTACACATCTTTCCCAATGTAACCAATTAATATTTTCATAAAATTCACACCAACAGAAATAATAGGAAAGAAAGTTTTGTAGGGAGTAAGATAAATACACTTTTCTACGGATTTAACACCGAGGACTTTTGTTTTGTTCTGTCTTTACAATTAAATTAAGCATCTGTGTGATTGACTCTGTAGACACTGGGTTTGTACTGGGCACTGCACACTATTACACAAACTGGTCCCCTCAGGGTTTAGTATTTCATATATTACAGTTTGTGATAGACTGAAATGTTGTTAATGTCTTAAACACGATCAAAATCATAGAAAGCCTTTATGTCAAACTGCAAAGAAGCAACTCCTGTCTGGGACCACTGCAGCACTCCCCCTCCAGAATATGCCTCCTGACTGGAATTTGGACTGTGAGGGGAACAAGACTATTGTCTAATCACCTCAGGTCTGAGGAAAAGTAAACAAGGAAGCCTGCCTCAAGAGCCTGTAAATCTTCCCCTGCCCCTATCAGGAGTGCCTGGGGTGCTTGTGCTTTGTGGGACCCTCACCACTGAGAAGAACAGACGAACAAGACCCACAGGAGTCCACTGGGTTCCACAGAGTAGTGATACATTTTCTATTTAATTTCTGTCTGTCACTCTCTTCCTGCCCCTACCCCCTGCCTCCTTTTTCCCATTTCTTTCTCTCTCTCTCTGCCTCACATTTGCTGTTAAATAAAATCCATACTATTGACTTTGGCATATGGTCTTGTTTGCACCTTAATTTGGGCAGAGGCATTTCTAATAATTTTAATAACTGGATCTTAACACAGTTCTCATCAGAAAAAAAATTACTGTCAATTCATTGAAGGAAGCTACAAGAAAAAGATCTCAAACTTGGTCTGAAACATGACATGAAAAGAAAGGAAGAAGTAACAAATAGCCATTCATGTGCTGCCCTGCAAACAGAGGAAACAAGTTGTCTTCTTTAGATCTACAAGTACTGAAAGAAATACTGGAAAATTATACTGGAATAAAATGTATGTTACTATGATTTACAGTATTATATCTATACACACAGTTACTATGTTTGATTGAGAAAAACAAAAGATAAAGAGTCATTATATGTTTCTTTGAATACATGTTAACTACATGTTCATTATATATTCCTTTGAAATAATTCTGTAATTTGGAATATGTTCTGTTTAGTGCAGAAATTTTGTCTATGTGAAAGGGAAAGAGATAACACATAATGGATAATTTGCTACATTTTTTTGTTCCATGACCTTGCTGGTAGCTTCCAAACCATTCACCTGATGCTATATAAATCAGAAGAATGTTGGGGCTGCCTTAACTTGCACTAAAACTGCGAAAAGGTAAATTTGGATGCAAAGGCTTACTGATCTTTTGAATGTATTTTCTTAACATTACTCTGTATAAACATCCCACCTCAGCATGTACCTAAAGAACTTGTGTCCTTGGGAAGGTTTATGCTCTTTTCTGCCTAGAGGGGTGCAACTAGATGCCCTTTTAGAGAGCATTTATTGTTTGTTGAACAAACATTAGAGTTATGCTTTTGAAACAGATATCATGAATATTAACAGGCACATAGAAAGTTAACTAAGTAGCTCAAGATCAGAAATTAATGCCTAGAATTAAATATTACATAAGATCTTAAAATTATTTTCTCTGTGCATAATGCACATTCTCAAACTAACTGATTTCTACTCTCTTTGAAATTTATAGCTTCAAAAGTATTCTTCATATCTACTTGGCTGGAGAGTGAAAAATGTGAAATATTTGTAAACTTTTTTAAAACTCAAAAGTAACAGTTGAGTTTTACAAAACAACAGTAAGATTAGTGTAAAGAGGTCTTCACTAATATTAAGATACAGCTACTGGATTAAGACAAAAAAAGAAGCAGCTAACACACACTTAACATTCTTTTCAGTTAAAACACTCCCATTTATTTTTCATATACTTACTTTGAACTCCATGGGAGCGAACTATTTTCCAGGTTTCTGAGGCCACCTCTTTTACATCCACTTGGTAGTGGTGAATGGGAACACCTCCATGTGACTCTGGCTTATGGAACGAAACCTTGGCAGTGGTTTGGGACAGCTCTAAAACTCGTACTCCATACGGATTTGATGGCACATCTAAAAAAGGACAAATGTCAATTTAATAATCAGCAGCAATCACAGAGACCTAAACAGTTGATAATCTACCCCCAAAAGTCTCCTTAGCGTGTTCAAGGGAGAAAAAATAAATATTGAATATGGTATAATAATGTTTGTGTTACATAAACAACTTGTTTTCCACTACAGAGTTGTAAGAAAACCTCATTCATTTCCTTGTATGCTAAAGTAATGCAAAATCATTTTTGCCTTTCTTTTATAATATGATCTTTTTCAATAGCTAATTTCATCACAGTCAAACGTAGGAGATCAGTTTGTTGACTGCATAATTATATAAAAAAGAATAACAAACTTTAAATCAAATATAACAAAAGGAACAGTTACACTAAATAGATCATTCAGAGTCTAAATTCTTCTAAATGAGATTATGACAAAGAACTGTATAAATAATTTGGCCATTTTATGGTACTCTGAAATACAGCTGAAAACATGAATCATTTTTCTCTTCTTTTGAAAGACTGGATTTCAAGCTACTAGAAGGATACATTAATGGAAGGTTTCTATTCTCTGTTCAGTTTAAGAACTAATTTGTAAAATAGGTTGAAAGAAACATTTTCCCTGAAATCAAAAGGAAATGCATATCTTTCAAAGTAGAAAAGAACTATGAAAATAGAGCAGGTGTTTGTAGGTGTTGAAATGAGATATATGAAACAAAAGCAAAACAATGACATCAGGGTCAGCACAGCTTTAAAAATAGAAAGGTTACATTACTTCTAAAATGTATGATCAAACACACAGGAGACAAAAGACTAGCTTTTCTAATTGTCCTACATTTTAAAGTGTTATAATTACAGAAGATGTTATTAAAAATACTAGTAAGAATTTTAGTCCTGTGGACAGAATACAAGGGATCTGAAACACCATTACAAATTTCTCTTCTGATCCATCTGAAGATTATCTGCATAACCACTTACGCATTGGAGATTGCTTTTGTCTCCATGTTATGGAAGATACTTTTGTAAGGACATGCAAGAATTTGAGCCAAGGCCTATAATTTTGTTTGTGGGTAATGAACCATTTCCATGAAACACTGCCGGTATTCAAAGGCTGTCAGACAGTTGGGAATAAAAGGAGAATCAATCTGAGCTTCGCCCAGTATTGGTACTTGAATGAAAATGAGACAAAAATTGTGGTTGACATATTCAGCCACAAATTCTCTGAAAAGAATGCCTGCCAAAGCAGGTCTAAAAGGGCTGGAAGGTGTATAACCTTTCGATTATCAGAAAACTAAATTATTTTCTGAAAAAATCTCTAACAGTTGTCAGACTTGAGTATCTTAATGCTGATATAATACCTCTGTGAATTGTTACAGTTAGCATTTCTGTCTATAGGTCTCCTGAACCCTCCAATACTTGGTGGTCATTGGGTTAAAACCAGTATAGATGCCATCAAAGCATTCCAGGGCAGTATTGCACTGTATGAGTGATGTGAATGTATGAGGTGGATACCAATCATTTGGGAAGCGAATATAGCTCTTAGGTACTGAAGATAAATGCTCTTTTTGTATTTAATTGTAAGCTAAAAGCTGCTGTGGATACCTACAATATTGCAAATAGCTTCTTAACTTCTAATTTTTTTTCTTGTTAAAAGAATTAAAATTAAACAAAAATATTTAGGAGATAAATGAATAATTTCACCCATCTTATTTTTATGGTAGTTTTTGTATGCTATTTTAATAATGCAATTCACTGGTACTTTTGTTTGAATCAAACCAGATATTTGGTCAATGGTATGAAACAAAAATGTGTTATTTACATATCCACCCTGTTCTTGACTTTCCAAATGTTAAGATCCCCTTTCCTTGTGTGTTAATACCTGTGTATGGTTAACTATAAGCATGGCATAGGGAAAATGACACCCTTCAGGAAGAACCTTATATTCTCTACTGCTGGTTCAAATACAATTTCTGCCAAATGAAGGTAGGATTCCTTTTGGTAATAAACGTAAAATGAAGGTCCTGTGAAAACCCAGTAAAATATTTTGCATAACTAGCACAATGCAATCTGTTTAGAACTCACTGAAGTGTAAAATACATCCACAATACTATTTTAAATATGCATTCCACAATGCAAGCCACCCACAGGTGTAGGCAACTTTTATGCAGTTTCCAGAGTTGAACTATGTCAGTTCTAAGGAAAACAGTGAATCACCTGAAGAAAATACAGCAGGAGACACTTCCGAGTTAAAACCAAAACCAAATACTAGCAATACCATTAAGATACAAGAAAATACCTGCTACCTTTTTCAGACTGAGCAAATCTATAACTTTTTCCCCAAAGAAGATCAATAGCAGCATAATGAAATGAATCTAATTTTGTAGTTCTCTGATAGTAAGAATTTGATCATGCAAGGTATACAGCCTTCTGGTCTTGATCTAGCTAAACATTCCAGCATTTGAGTTCTCCCCTGTCAGGCATAATTACTTGGAGCATTGCCATGATTTCCATGTCAGAATTGCAAGGCTTTTGGCTCAATGTTTAGCAGGAGGGAAGGATAATTTGCGATGTTGTGTGCTCTGAAGTCTGCATCTGGAAGAATATAGCTATGGATGTTTCTTGTTCTTTTTCCTTCTAAAACCAACCAACCAAATGAATCTTAGAGGAGTTTAGCTATGGGCAGTGATCATATTTTGTATACTGATATGGATACAAGTTGAAGGATTATGTAGTAGAAAATGTATGGGATTTCTTTTCTCTGCTCTAAAGATCACTCAGTGACAGCAGAGATTCTAATATACTTCCTCAGAAGTTCCACTGCCAGGTTTTTTGTCATTATGCTGCTGTCAAAACAAGGGATAATTCATCACAAGTTCAGCCTTTAAAATAAAGTATGACATTAAAAAAAAAAAAAACAGGTGTCAGCTGTTTAGTCATCTTTTGTCTTCTTTCCTCAGCAACTACTCCTGTGTTCATTATGTGACTGTATTCATGTATGATGTTAAACAATTCCTTATAAATAAAATCAAAAAGTATCCCCTCATAAGTGTAAAATTGCACTTGTACGCAGCATATAATTCTGGGTTACACAAATGAACTTTGTGCCTAAATAAGTAGCATTAGTTTGGTTCCAAAAACATTATCACAGCTGATAAAGAAGTACACACAGAATTATGAGTACATATTTATCTCCACTGACATGTAAATAGTCTTTCAAGTCTATTACAATTATCACCAAACCTGTTCAATACATGACCATTGTTTATCACTGAGAATTTTCTTTTCAAGCTATTTTTGTGATAGTTTTATGGAAGAAAATAATTTTCCTTCTGAGAGTTTAGCAGTCCCAATATAAATGGAGAAAAGGAAGTGATGATGTGAGAGTAGAGAGTGGGCTCAGAGACTTGTCTTCCAGTTAAGTCGTCTCCTATCTCCTGTAAGGATGTTCCTACTGCAGCTCCACAGCTTTTCCTGTCTCTGTATATCTGGCACATATATTCACTCAAAATAACTATATCTAAATGCTGAATGTAAGTACCATCAGGACCTTGCCAGGGAAAGAGAAGAGGCTGGGGACTAGACCTTTGGAGTCAAAAATCTCTATGACACTGCTTGTACTTGTACATCCTTGGAATGGAAGAAAAATTCAATATTACATCTACATAGATTTCTTTTACCAAATCACTGGCAGTTCTGGAAAAATAAGGATTTAGTTAAGTAATCAGGACCACAGCTAGCAAGTAAATATATAAAACAAAAATTAAAATAAAATGCACACAAAGCAAAACTCTGTTGCCATGTTGATAGTTTCACACCTAGGCCATATGAAAATATGTTGTAGTTTCTCCTTTTCTTTTTTTTTTTTTGTTCTGTTTTTTTTCAGTAAAAATCTTTTAGCTGATGCTGTTAAGATGTGAATGGCAAGTTTTAGAACAGTGAGCTAGATTTTAGGTCTGCCCGTATTTTTGTGGCGGTCAATAGACTTTTGGTAGAATATGATTATCTTTTTCATTATATTATTCCTTGGGGAAAAATAAGTCCTACATCTTTGATTTTATTTTGCCTGTGTGAAAATTCAAATACTTGGGGAAACAAAAGGAACATCCATTAACCAGCAACAAAGTGCCAGCATTGAAACTCCGGACTAGTAAACTTCTTAATTTGATGTTGTAGCCTTTGTCAGTTATTGATCAGCCTTATCATATTCTGGGCATGACTTTATTCCATAAAACAGATTAGAGGATATAGTTTCTGTGAAGCTCAATTACTGTCTTTCCCACGTTTTAAATTGCTTTTGTTGTCATTATTCCCCATCTTCACTAACTTTCTCTGTATAAAGGATGCTTAAAGAACATTTAATTAAATAAGGAGGTGTAGGAGCTTGCAATATCTAATGATATCATTGAAAGTTTGCTTTTTAATTCCATGTAACATTGGTTTAGAAAGGAGACAAATAAATCATATAGCTACAACAAATGTAGCTGCTAGAGGCATGCTCAAGGCATGACATGGTGAGATCAGAATTTCAGCTTTCATCAAAAATGAAAGTATCCTTCTAGGTACAAAGACCAAAAGACTGGGGCAAAAAGGGGAATCAGACTATTTATCTGAACTTTTAAACCCTTTGCCATCCCAGAATAAAGAGGGGGTCAGGAAAGTCTAGGATGAGTAAGGTCATGAGAGCCTTGGAAGTGAATCACAGTTTTAGATTCCATCCAGCTATACGTTGCTATGTGCAAAATATAAATTGAATAATCCAGTTTAGCTCTGTGTCATAACCTTAAGATTTACCATTCTAAGATATTAAATTACCTATTCCAAAAACATAGTCCTAGAGTACTGCTGGCCACATGATTTTCTACTTCTCTATACAAAAACCATTTAAAATAACAATACTGAGATCCAACATAAAGGAAGAATGCTTTGCTAGTTTCTACCAGCTTCCTGCATACTGATATTTCACATAAACTATGACTAAACTAGAACTGGACAGATCTAGGAGTATCTGTGATCACCTCAGGCTCTGAGAGGCATTGGGACAACCTGCCAAGCTCACCAGGCTTGCTAAAATCTGGTCCTGTCATAGATTAAAACCATAGTGTAAGCAGACTTCTAAAACATAAGGTGTGCCTGTGACATGAAAGAATTAATTTGCAGTGGCAAGAAATGCCTGTGGTTCTTTTCACACTCTACATGTTACTCACATAACAATTTAAATGTTTAAGCAATGAAAAAGCAGGAATAGTTGAACTACGTGGTATTTTTAAGAGTTGATCACCACAAGTCAGGAGAAGAGCACATCTGTTTAAGCTTTCAGCTGATGGTCAGAACCTTTCAGTGTGAAATCCCAAATAGTCTGCAGTTCTTCAATTGTTTTGAAAGTTTAAATGGAATTCAGGCTGATTCAGTAGCTCTGTATAATCTGAGTGAACATTACCATAAAAAATGGTATGGGTGCAAATTGCATCTAAATTCTGAAAGAAATCTTTTTTTCTTTATCATCAATAAGTCTAATTTCTTAAGGAGGGTAACAGAAATAAAGATAATGGCATCATGACAGTGTGATCACTTTTCAAGTAGCAGTAAAGGAAAAAGAGAGGTAACATGATTATTCTGAAATCCAGCAAAGCAGAAAAATGGAACAAAACATGAAGGAACAAGTAATTCCTGCAGAATTTAAAGAGAAAGCTATGCAGTAAAAATATCATTATTTGTAAAATTTACCCCAGCAGCATACTTTGCTTAATACCATCTCCCAGCTAGGAACAGTATTTATTTTTCCATAACAGAGGCTTTGTAAAAGTATGCTGTGCCCCAGTACTTGTATTTATAATCAAAGCCAGAAGGCAATCCAGGCTGTTGCATTGCAATGTATGAAGTGATTTTATGGGCTTTAATAAGGAAAATATCAATCATTAGGTCTTCCAAATCTACCAAAGTAAAGTGATGGAGGTAATAAAACTAGAAAGAAAGCTGTATTTGACATTTTATACCTGTATTTATTATTTTATCCTCCATCTCCCTGATTGTTTTCCATTTTCAGTTTAAGTGCAAAACTTGTAACTTGTTAGGTTTTTTTCTAAAAACAGGGTCTATTTAGATGTAAATGCTCAAAATATCAATCTTTCAGGATACTGAATATTATGCATTACACTACTGTAAGTAGTGGGCAGTATAATGGAGCCCTGACACCCCCAAACCAAGGGTTTCCAGCCCTGCTCATTATCACTACTAAAAAACCTGCTTTCCCCCCCCCATTTTCTGCATTTAATATTATTATATAGAGAATCCATATATAGCTCATGACTTACATAATACCTTCCCATAATTCTTTATTTACCTTGATTTGCCTTTTTATTGTTATAACTCCAATATATAACTTTTATAAGTGTTCATCAAGTTTTCTGATGAACTGACTGAAAAAAATATTAAGTGAACTATTGCAAAAGTAGAGAATATTAAGCTCTTTGAAAAACTGGCATCAGTAACATTTCTGATACAATTATATTGAAAAGCCAAGCCAGGGTTATAGTTTGTATGAAGTTCTTTGTTTTTTGCATTTCCAGGGGCTCTCATGTATGAATTTTCTGAAATATTTCAAAATATCATGTTCTTTTTCAATTGACAATGCTATATTCTTTGTACTGAAGTTAATTCATTAATTATAAAAGCAGGGAGGATATACATAGCTAAAATGATCACCGTGCAGCATCATTCATTGTGATGGGATACTGTGCTGCAAATCTAAGAGAAAAAATCCAATATTCTGTACAGTATCTGTTGAGATGCTCTCCCATGTTATACATATTTATGAAAAAAACAGCACACAGTAACAACTACAATATTTTCTCTTTTTTTTTTTTTTTTCTCTCCTGGGAGGTAAGACACCAGAGGGATACAAGTGGGGATTTTCCTTCCCTTTCCTATCGTTTATGTTCATGGCTTCAGGAAAGACTTTTTTTCTCAGTAGTCACATGTAGCTGTCAAGGGAAGGTAAGATCACAACACAGTTAAGACTCTAAAAAAGTAGTAAAATGAAGGGTAGTGGACCTTCTGAATCATGTAAAATTGTGCCCCACAGAAATCGCATGTTTCTCAATAAACCCCCACATTTTTCTGTTTTAGGAATCTCAACACTTTTGATGGTTCTTCAAAGCAAAATACAGGAAGAGAGCGTGTTAGTAATTCATCCCATAATGGTAATGGGAAAATTTATCAATACTGTGTAAAAAGTCAAAGTAGTTTATTAATAAACAACTGGTTTTTATAATACCTGAGATACCTAAAAAAACCCAATCACCCTGTGGAGCAAAACTATACAAATTAAACTACCAGGCCAAGTAAGAGAGCTCTGACTGGATGTGAATGTTTCAGCAAAGCACCTCTGAAACTCCTTCTAGTAGAGCTCCAGAGTGTTGATTTCCTTATTTAAGAAAAACAAACTAAAAGTCACATTCGACTGAAGCATTCAAGATCATGAAGAATATACATGTCTTACAAAAAAAAATAGATATAAAAGACCTTATTTCTACCTGCCCCTTCAATATATGTCAGCCAGTGCTACAGGGTGGCCTGAAAGTGGTCCATAATGACACATCCCAAGGGGTGCAGAGCTCTCAGTGTGGTTGTTCTTTTAATACCAAGCTACATTATAGCTCCCTAGACATCATTAAAGCTGGCAAAATTTGCATCATTAAGTACATAGATCCAAATGCTTGGAGACCTCCAAGCCTGCTGAACAAACATTAGTTCATTCTACAAGAAAATATAACTGAAAACGAAGCCAAGAAACTCTCATTTGTTCTCAGTTTATAGTTATTTCTGCCCAAGAATGAACATGCAGTCAGATTTCTATATTTGCCTAAACAACAACAGAAGGACCTAAAAATTCTGTAAGAACTTATTCTTACAGAAATCCTGTAAGAATAAGTTGTAGGACATCTCAGAGCTTAAATTAATTCAATCTAGCACTCCAGCTCAAATTCTTCTTTTAAATAACTAAAAGTGCAAATGAAGGTAGAAATTCTCTGCTGAAGTATCTCAGTCTTTTGTAATCCTTAGTTTATAAAGAAAATATCAGGGAGAAAAAGTAAAAAAAAAGAATTTCCTAGTTCCTTCTTACTTTTATTGCCTGCAAACCATATGTCTCTCTGTTGAAGTAATGAAAATACATTGTTATAAATGTAGGATGTAGTGAGGGCAAAGGAAAAAAGTTACACTAATTTAATTTCTTCAAATTTCAGAAGGCCTTAAAATTAAATCCAAAAAAGATTCATATTCTGAGGGAACTGGTTTATTTTACTTTATATTGCAACTCAACTTTTAGAGAATTAAATTAACTGCAAACAGACCATGGAATAAAAGAAACAGAGGATAATGTGCCTCAACTTCATTTTGGTTACAGTAAAAAAAAATTTAAGAGAAGGAAACAAAATTTTAACTTACCAGCTTGACCAAGTGTATATTCCTGATATCTTGTTCCTATTCTGTTTGTGGCTGTACAATTATATCGTCCAAAATCACTGTCAGAGGTGGGAGCAATCTTTAAAATGAATACAGTTTGCAAACATTAGTTGCTAATCAAGTATAAATGTAAGTATATTCTCCTTAACCAATATGCAGATGTGTTCTTACTTCAGCCTATCTGGTATATTCTCCAAACATAGACCTAAATACATCTTTTTCCATGTTAAACTCTCTCTTCTCAAATGCCAATGAGGAAATCCAATCGTGGAAAACAGTGACATTGTTCATCTTTATAATTTCACCCTTAAACAAGAAAAATAATCTAACAAACTCTTTGTGTATACAAAATACCTACCAGGCAGTCAGTTTAATTTTTGGTATTAACTTGATGTGCAAGGTTTATGTTTATTTATGTATTTATTTACTTCCAAGAAATGGAAGTTGCATTTTTGTTCGGTGCAGATGGAAACCTGTGCACAAGCCACGCAAATAAAGCTTATTTTCTAACTGCTAACCAGAAACATGGAGATAAATCAGTTCCTATACAGTTCTTTGTTATTTTGGTATCTTTTTAAAGAACATTTCTTGTTAAATTGTAAGTCTTATCCTTTAATATACTCTATAGTACTTTCAATGGTGACAAACTGAGGATAAAAATATTTTATATCACCACATTGATTTCATTTTAAACCTTACCTCTAGAATCAGCTTTCTTCCTGTACTGTAGGTCTTCAGATGTGTTGTATTTTTTATGGGTAAAACTAATTTTCCTCTTCTCCACTGAACTGAGGCAGAGGGATTTGCCAGCACTTCACAACTTATATTGATGGGATTGCCTTCCCAAGAGTAATACATGGTTTGATTTGACACAAACGTTGGAGCATCTGGAAAAAGAAAGTAAGGCACAAGTACATTGACTGGTTTAGTAAAACAAGCTGTACACTTATATCCAAGTCTTCATGTTCACAGAGAAATTCCAATTGATTGCTGTGTCAGTTTATTATGGACTATGAAAGCAGTAGTATTCAACCTGGAGTTTGTTAAGCCTTCATCTTGTTAAATTTCTCCTCTCCTGAAACTGTTTCAGCTGAAATTCTGAGAACACCTGCTAATTATATTTAACATTAGGCAATATCATGCCCTTAAAAAACAATATCTCATAAGTGAGGAAGAACACTTCCTCTTGAGGATGAGAAGCTCTTTGGCCAAACCCTTTTATGACCAAGGGAGGTGACCTACAAAGCTTATAGAAATAATCTGTTCACGTGCTGATTTTATAGTGCCATCTTTTGCTATGGAGAAATTATATTCACTCTCCAAACTTTTATACAAGTGTTTAAGCTTCACCCGTTTCTCACTGGAACTGTGAACTTATGAAATGATCAAGCTACAGACAAGAAAAACAGTGGTGTGTTTTCCTTACAACCCTGCCTATAAACAGGTACATTAAACATATACCAAACACTGAGTCTGACACAGAGGAAATTGCTGGTTTGCAGACTGTGATTTACAGATCACAATGCCAGTAGTGACAAGACTTATCTGTTCTATTCACTGTTTCTCTGGAGAGCAAGAACAGTTTAGTGGTCTCTAGAAAATGAAAGGGAGTAGCTTTTTCCCCTCCTCTTCTGCTTATGTCTTAAGTAAACAGTATTTTTGCCTATCAAATATTTGGTTGCAATTTTTTTCTACTTTTACTTATATTTTATGAGTATTAAGAAAATATTCTTTTTATTATATTCAAGGAAACTCTCTTAGCACTTTAATACCTAAAGAGAAGTATTGGTTACAGCTTTTTAACATCTGAAATATATAGGTATATATTTTTATTCTGACAAATAGCTCCTAGATATTTCTAGGAAAACCTATTCTAGTCTTCTCACAAATTGTTTAACTTTAGGCTAGAAAATTGCTAATAGGTCTGTCAGAGACCAGAACTGAGCACATTTAAGTACTAAGTGAAATTTAGCTTCAGGTATGGTTAAAAACTACTTCCTTTTTTTTTTCTTTTCTTTCAAGTTCACGTTTTCAATTTATTTCTGTTTGCCTCTGTCAAAAAGAACAGCTTTTTGATGACATAAGTGCTGCTGCATGCAGGCATACAGGCTTTGACCAAAAAGAATTGCTATGAATAGAAGTTTTAAAGCACAGATCAAAGCTGCTACATTGCTCAACACCAGCAGCATCTTCTTTAATAACTGTTCAGCCTTTATTTTTGTAAGAAAACCAGCAGCTTCACCCAAATAACTAAAGCACGTCTGACTATAAATTTATTTACCAGATACAGGAACTCATTTTTGTGTTCCAAATGTTTTAATAAGTAATTCTAGTGCTCTTGATTTTCGTAGACCTTTAAAAAACCCATATTTCATCATCTACACAGGTTAATGTAAAGCATGGGCTATCAAAAAGTCTTCAGAGTGTGACATGTCACACTAGGGGAGAATATGAAGAAAAAAGCAAACTGCAAATGCCTGTTTTATGGATAAGGATGATCAGGAGTCTCAGAATACCAAGAGTCAGAGCCTTGGCTTTTTCTCTGGAAATGAAGTTCATGGAGGGATCCACTTGTAGGAAGAGTGCGTGAACTGACTTCTGCCTGCTCAACAGATGGATCAATAATGTTTTCAACATATGGATCACAAATCTCGTCAGGGTGTTTGTGAGGCACCAAATGGGGTTATTTCACACCAAAGTTTATGTAAGCACTGTCTCCCAATGCACATTTCTCAGTATTTCTCTGTTAATGAACACAGGCATGAATGCTGATGACTGAAAGATGTTCTGTCTGAGTATGAGTAACTTCCTTGGTAACATTATATGGTTTGATGCTCTCTGTTGATTTAAATACATGTGGCAAACTCATATCCTATTTTACAAGTCTTACAAGTGAAAAAGTAATATACACTTCTATACTGCAGGTACAAGCATTTAGGAGAAGAGGGACTTCTAGTTCAGAGTACTCTCTCTTCTAAAGGTAAATTTTGGATGACCATAGTATGTATTTGTTTATATTTTAAAAGATTAGGTGAGTTATGGACTGCCATCTCTACGTTACTACAGATACTAATACACATAAACATAAAAAAATACAAGTAGGACTAGAAGTCTGTCAAAAAAAGGTATATCTCAAAACTGACAATTCACAAATGTAAAGCATTCCAAAACAAAAAGAGCTTCACAATTTCCCTCTCAAAAAGTCTGAGTAAAAAGGCTTTGCAGCCACTTCCCCAGAAGTCAAAAGCTCCAATACAGGAAAAACAGAAGGACTGTGCTAATGGCTTGATTCAGAAAAATTATCTCAAAGGAGATGATTTTTGATTTCCTAGTCAAAAATAGATTAAGGTGCCTGGAGTGATGTTTTACACAAAGAAAATAAGTCTGGAAATTATTTTCTTACATTACAAATAAAAGATATTTTACATTCTTTATAAAATTCAAAAAATTGAGTTAAAAGGGAATAATTGGTTTATAAAAAAAATTTGCTTTTTCTGGTATGCCCTTCATCACTAACTGCAGTATATTATGCTTAAATGGTTACAGAATTAGTAGTTATCAAACATAAACACAAAATATGTTTAATATAAAATAGAGCGTGAAAAAATAACAAATCTTAAGGCCAAGGCTTTGAAAACATAAGGCTGACTATTTTATATTCCTGCAAAATCTGATCTCTCCGGTTTTTTAAAATAATTAAGAAACAAATAAACAGAATATTTGTCAATAAATTCTATTAACTGAAAATTAAATAAAACCAATCAGAAATGAGAAGGTGGACCTTCTCATATGTTTACATATGTTGAGGATCTTTAGTTGCAATATATGTACTGTATCAAAAAAAAAAAATGTTTCAGTGTAGATCAGTTAGAAAATTAAAACCCTTAAAGAATAATAATATGCTCTGCTTAGCTTCTATGTAGCTCAGAATTAATTTACACCTGACAAAAATCAATGCAGGGTGCAAATGAAAACCTGCTTTTAAGCTTTTATAAACAAAGTACTACCAGTTAAGGGAGCATGCTGGACTTCTAAATAGCTAAACAGAAGTAGAAGCTTGAATACAGTCAGTTTTTAAAAAAATCAACACTGATGGTATTTATTATACCTGAACCTTTGGCACTCTACAGAAAACAAAACAAAACAAAACAAAGAAAAAAAAACAAAAACAAAGAAATGTACAAAAGCTACTGTTCATGTTAGTTAATAAAGGCACACAGTATCATAGAATGGTTTGAGTTGGAAAGGACCTTAAAGGTCATTCAGTGCAGCACTCCTGTCATGGGCAGGGACACCTTCCACTAGACCAGATTTCTCAGAGCTCCATCCAACCTGGCCTTCAACACTTCCAGGGATGGGGCATCCAGAGCTTCTCTGGGAAACCTGTGCCACAGCGTCACCACCCTCACAGGGGAGAATTTCTTCCTAAAATCTATTCTGAAACAGCCCTCTTTTAGTTTAAAACTATTGTCCCTTGTCCTAGCACTACAGATAAAAAGTCCCCCTCTCTCTCTCTTCCTTATAATCTGCCTTTACATATTGAATGGCTGCAAAAGTCTCCTTGGAGCCTTCTCCTCTCCAAGCTGATAAACCCCAACTCTATCAACCTCAGGAGAGGTGTTACAGCTCCCCAATCATCTTGGTGGCCTCCTCTGGACCTGCTCCAGCAGGTCCATGTCTTTCTTGTGTTTGGAATCCCAGAGCTGGAGGCAGCACTGCAGGTGGGGTCTCAGCAGAGCAGAGCAGAGGGGCAGAATCCCCTCCCTCCCCTGCTGCCCACACTGCTTTGGATACAGCCCAGGATGTGATAAAAGTTCCTAAGCACTGTTATAAGGTTCAGCTATGAAAGATGGAATATTATTTTGGAGACATGAAGCAAGCCAAATGAAAATGATGCCTAGAAGGAACAAAGACAATATTACAAAGATACAAAATTAAACAAAACTATTTTATGAGCGTAGGATTCTACAAATTTAGAGTGGCATTTTAGAGTTAATGTTATGGCACCAGCATCAGCTAAACTCAACCTGTTCATTTTCACAAACAAGAAAGAAACAGGCAGGTCAGTACTCCAATTAGAAGTCATTCTGGATAACCTGTGTGAGATTATTTATGAGAAGCAAACTGTGACCTGAAAGCTGTCTGTTGTATTTAGATATCCCTGTTAGGCACAATGTCCAGGAACAGTTATTCAAGAGCAGACTAATGCATCACCTGTCTTGTCTAGAAGGTAATTAAATTAAGGACTTCAAAGATCCAGCTCTGGTGTACATTCAGTGTAATACACAAAATTAGATACAGCAAATTACCTGATTCAGTCCATGTGTCCAGAAAACTGTAATCAAAAATTTGTGTGCAGAATGAGATTTGCACTTCTTAATTCAAGAACACAGTTTTTCAAACTTTTGGCTATTTGTTCCTCAAATAATTTGTTTTCCTGGATCACACAATGAAAATATGCAACAGATTGTCAGGCCTAAGATGCTGGACATTTCCTGCAGTATATTATTTGAAGCTTCTCTCTTAGATGATTAATACTAGCATAAGTTTCCCATCATTAAGGGCTTTAATAAACCACATCCTCTAGCAAATCTAGTACTGTCCTTGTCATTGGTCCTGTAAAAGCACCTCAGTTTTTTCTAACTCTGCAACAATTTGGTTAACAGCTATCTATCTTTCTCTTGTATTTTCTCCCTCATACCTGTTTTCAATAATTAATATTTAAAAACTAATAGCTTTTTCTTGAATAAAAAGTAGAAGAACCTCCACAGACAACTGCAATAACTGTCACATATTCATTTGTAACAAAAAATAATATCAGAACAACTTCAGAAATGTGGTTAGGTGGTTACACTTTGATCTATAATCATCCTGAAAACGAGTATAG